ACCGTACAAGCAATCTTTGCATCCCTACTCAACAATGTGGACCCTGGTACCATCATCCTGGATCGGGTACATAGAGCCGCTGGGCCTAGACTGACCAACTCTCCCAACCCGCGCGATGTGATATGTCGGGTCCATTATTTCACCACGAAAGAGGAGATCCTCAGAGCTGCTTGGCGACGTAGACCCGTGGAGTTCGATGGAGTGCAGATTCAAATCCTCGCGGATCTGTCTCGCAACACCCTCAGGCGTCGAGCAATCTTTCGCCCAGTCCTGGATCTAATACGCAGCACGGGGGCGACATACTGTTGGGGTTTCCCATTTCATCTAATCGTCAAGAAGGGTGAGTCCATTTACGTGCTCCGCTCCCCGAAAGATATCCCGGGCCTAGGCGGCTTCCTGCATGTGGATGTCCCACCTCCTGACGACTGGCTGGCTTACATCATGGAGGGGACTCGGAGACCACCTGCGGCCCAGCGCGGGGCCCGCTCCAGATCCGGCTCCTCACGCCCCGACCACCAACGCATGGGGAGTAGTGGAGATCCCAGGACATCGGTGGAGGCCTAACCTACTATGGATGCCCTGACTTACTGGACGTTCCGGTATTGGCTTTATTTTTCATTCATTTATTTTTCTCTTGTTTTTTATGGGCCTTGTACTGATGGGTCTGAACTTCCGCGCTCCACTCGGTCCTCTCCCACTTCAGGGGCTAGAATATCGACGAGACCACTGGGGATCACATACCCTCCTGGTACCGCGTTACCGAGGAATACCTTTTCTCTACCCAGACGTTGACTCAGAGATCTACTCCGGATTCACTCCACTGTAAGGTGATGGGGCATTCTGATCCCAGGGGGGGGGTGGATTTTCCTTACGGGACACCTACAATCGAGGCCCTGGAGGGTCCTCATCAGGGTCCCCATACATGTCAGGTTGCTGCTGCAGACTATATATGTCCATCAGGCGGCGCCTCTGTAACCCGTTCCCCTTAGATCCATACAATACGCAGGGGGTGGGGCCCGTCCCCGGAAACTATTCCTGACCGCCCAAGGGAGAGTCCCCCCCACGGGTCAGCCCCGTCCCGGAGCATGGCCACGCCACTACTAGTGTCTGCTCCGATCCTGGGGTGGGCATACTTAATATTTTTGAGCCAATCAGTGCCACAAGCAACCACGCTCTCACAAGCATGCCGCTTGGAGAAGGTCTCACGAGTCGTGTTTGGATTCGACTTCCCCACTAGTATTTACCCTACGGTCCGTCAGGTACGGCTTTAGGGGGTTTCTATATGAACTTCGGTTCCATTTAGATACTTCTTGCTTCCTTTGCTGTCTTCTGTCCTTCTGTCCCTTCTCTGCTCCCCTAGGGTACTGCCCTCCCTTTCGCAGCACCCCCAGTCTCAGCTCTCTCTCGCCTGCTACTCTCTCCACTCTTGGTGCTCGCCCCTCCTTCCCCCTCTCTACCCCGCCATCTCTGCCTGACCCCTATCCTCCTACCTCTTAGACTATCTCCCTCCCCCCTTCCGCCCATCGGGCCCCGCAATCAGGGCTCTACCATGCCTCCATACCGCCTTATGTCCCTTAACGCAAGGGGTCTCAACATCCCCGAAAAAAGGACCATGGTATTACATGAACTCCACCGGCACCGTGCACATATTGGATTCTTCCAAGAGACCCACTTCCGAATGGGGCACTCACCCAAATTCACAGATCACAGATTCCCGACATCCTATCACAGCTACTCCCCGGATAAGAGATCGAGGGGGGTTTCTATAGTCCTGTCCAGAAGTCTGCCCTGGACATATGTTGACATGCACGCCGGGGAGGAGGGCAGACTACTTATGCTCAAAGGGAAAATGGAATCTCAGATGGTTACTCTAGTAAACGTGTACCTCCCTAATCTAGGACAGATCTCTTTCTTGGAAAGAGTGTTGACGTTGGTGGATGACTTCAAGGAGGGGGTGCTGATCATAGGTGGGGATCTTAATCTCCTGCTAAACCCACTGATGGATTCCTCCAGATCGGCCTCCCACCTTTCCAGAGCGGCATCGCGCCGCCTCAAAAAGTGCCTTCATCTTCATCAGCTCGCTGACGTGTGGCGAGTCCACCACCCGTCAGACAAAGACTATTCTTTTTTTTCTACAGCCAGACAAACGTATACGCGCATCGATTACTTCCTCGTACACCATTCTGTGCTGCCATTGGTGTCTCGCTCCGCCATTGGCAATATCTCCCTGTCCGATCATGCAGCGATCTCGATAGTGGTGGATCTGGGTACGACTGGGACACAATCATGGCGCTGGCATTTGAACGAGACCTTAATACAGGATCAGGCCTTAGCTGGAGAAATTGAGGGTGACCTGCACCTGTATTTCGCTCTCAATGCCCCCTCCGAGTGCTCCCCGTACTCGATATGGGAGGCCCATAAGACCTATATCAGGGGCACCCTGATTAAGCTGGGCACACGAGTCAAACGCCAGCGTCTCCAACAGATCTCCTCCTTTCTGACACAGATCAACCAACTTGAGATCCAACACAAACGGTCCTTGGACCCGGCTGTGCTCTCCCAATTGACGGCTTTACGGGAATCCTTGCGCACTTTATGCCTACAAAAGGCTAAAGCGATGCTGGCGAAATGTAGGAGACACTTCTATGAATACAGCAATCATTGTAGCAGATCTATGGCCCATGCTCTCCATCACCAACGCTCTAAAACGTTCATCCCAGCCATTAAATCTAGCACAGGGTCCATGCTGCACTTATCTGAAGCGATTGCCGACCGGTTTAGCGACTTTTACTCTGCCCTTTATAACCTCCCACAACCTGGCTCAGAAACAAGGGCGTCTCAGCGGCTATCCTGCATTCGAGCTTACCTGGATTCCTCGGGCATGCCCTCCGTCCCTAGTGAAGTGGTTAGCGCTTTAGAACTCCCGATTACGGAACTAGAATTGAGTACGGCTATAAAACAGACGAACACGGGGAAGGCCCCGGGTCCAGACGGCTTCACTCTGATGTACTATAAGAGATATGCCCCCCTCCTAAACTCCCATCTCGTCAGAGCCTTGAATTCAGTCACGCAAGGAATGGAGCTTCCGCTAGACACTCTCTCTGCCAATATAGCGGTCATCCCGAAACCATGAAAGGATCCACTGCATTGCTCGAGTTACCGCCCTATTTTGCTCCTGAATGTTGATACCAAATTGTTCTCCAAAATCCTGGCGATGCGTATGCTCCCATACGTTGGGGATTTGATAGGCCCGGACCAGGCGGGTTTTGTCCCATGCAGGGAAGCAAGGGACAACACTACTAGGGCCCTGAACCTCATACATTCGGCCATGTCGAAGGCGACTCCTGCCTTTTTGTTGTCCACGGACGCGGAGAAAGCCTTCGACAGGGTCGACTGGACATTTATGAGAGCCACTTTGGAATGTTTGGGGCTAGGACCAAACATGATGTCGTGGATCATGTCACTGTATTCCCGGCCAAGGTACAGATTAACGGATCTCTGTCAGCGTCATTTACTATCTCTAATGGCACTCGACAGGGGTGTCCGTTATCCCCCCTGATCTTTATTATCACGCTAGAGCCCCTACTGAGGAGAATCCGGGCCAACCCAGACATTCGCGGAGTGGAAATAGGGTCGCAATCGCATAAGGTAGCCGCCTACGCGGATGACCTACTTTTCTTCCTGACTGTCCTGGATACCTCACTACCGAACCTAACACATATGGCGAATTGTCCAATTATCATGTCAATGCCCAAAAGTCGGAAGCCTTAAACCTCACGTTACCGCCTTCCCATGTCATTCGCCTACGGAATAACTTCCCGTTTGTGTGGTCCGACTCCTCAATCAAATATCTGGGAGTCCAGCTCCCGAGGGACCTGACCACAGTTTACTCTCTAAACTTTCTGCCCCTACTTCAGCGCCTAACACTTGACCTCAAGGACTGGTCTCGGCTGGCATTCTCTTGGACGGGGCGGTGCAACGTGGTCAAACAGAATGTTTTGCCCAGGTTGTTATACCCTATCCAAGCACTGCCCATTTTGGTTCCGAGAGGATTCTGGAAATCGATCCAATCCTTGATCACGAAATACATTTGGGGGTCTAAACCGGCTAGAATACGGCATTCCATTCTTAGGCTACCCAAAAGATATGGTGGTCTGGCGGTCCCAGATGTTCATTACTACTATGTTGCCGCCCATCTCACGCGCATTCTAGATTGGTGTCGCCACAAAGCACAGAAACCGTGGGTCGCCCTTGAACAATGCTCATCCTCTGTCCCTCTTCCTACTCTTCCATGGTGTCAAGGGGTGCCCACCTCGATCCGCACGCATCCGACGGTGGGAACTACCTGGCAGATAGCGCGCAAAGTGTTTTACTCCAGACTGATCTCCCCTACGCCTTCTCCGCTTCTCCCAATCATTGGATCCCCAGAGTTCATCCCAGGCTTGCAGGACCCGGGGTTTAGGCGCTTGCGGGACCAGGATTACTTTAGAGCCCAATATTTTCTCCACGGGTCGGAGTGGCCCTCCATCACGGTGATGACCACTGACCCTACACTGGCTCCATTGGGATTCTGGCGTCACCGCCAACTGACGCATTTTTTGGCATCTTTACCGCCACCAGCGGAGCTGACTTTGCAACTCCGGTGAGACTGCAAGAGTCCAGTTGCCCAACACACACCGCAGTAAGGGAGCCTGGGCTCGGAATATAATTTAGATCCACTCAGGATGGGCCTGAACAGCTCCTCTCATTCTTACGGTGAGACACTAGATAACTGGGCAATTGAGTTGCACTCGAGAATGGCCCCCCAGGCAGTGGAATCCGGGTGGTCCACAGGCTGAGGTGTTGCCGACGGGGCTAATCATCCTAATTTGCCCTAGGGTTGTGACGAGTACATTTGCAGTTATAATTATATTATTGTTTGAAGACGTCTATCAGTTGTACGCGATCGGTGGCTGCGTCCACTGCTTTGGTATTGGAAATTTTGTTCCTTACTTACATTCTGTTGCATGTATTCTTGAAAACCTGTTCAATAAAAGAATTTATAAAAAAAAAAAAAAATTGGCACCTAACTCCCTGATTAGCCGGGAAGCCGGGCAGCGTGTAAAGACTCGCCATCAAGCTTCCCGATTAGCAAGGAAGCCGTCCCCATGCTTCTGGTCACTGTAATGACACGTCGCCCGGCTTCCTGGTTGGCCGGGAAGCCGTCTTCATGCTCCCTCACCATGAGGTAACGAGGGAGCATGAAGCCAAGTTCCGACTAGCGTCATTACACGCTGCCCGGCTTCCTGATTGCCCGGGAAGCCGGCTCCATGCTCTCTCCTCACAAGTTCACACAGCATTCGGTGTAAACAAGCCCTAAATGAACATTTTACATGCCAAATAAAGTTAAAATAAGTAAACAGTGTGAAACTCTGAAACAGCGCATCATACCACACACCCGCCAGACCTCCTGTTACACCACACTAGAGTAAACTGTTTAGCGTGCAGTATTGTGAGCGGGCCCTAAAAAAAACAGCTGCATATGCTTTTTAGTTTAACTAGTTGTTTTTATTTTATTTTTAAACTCTGCAAAATGAATAGGAATCTGACACTTCTGGGAGTGTCAGATCCTAATTTCTTTCAGCAAACCCTACAGTTGTCATGCCTCAAACAAGCAGCTTCTGCTTTTAGCCTCTGCATTGTCAGTGTGCGGTTTTGCAGGGAGCTGTTGCCCCAGGTCTTTTTGAGAACACACAGCAGAAAGGTCCCATAATGTCACTGCATGATTCCAGGTCCACATGAAACCCGACTGGCATACCCAGTCTTGTGCAGTGATGCTAAAACAAGCACAGTGGCAG